GTGATGATCAGCATTTCTTGACTCTTGAAAGTCTCTCTTTGGACTTGCTTTGGCTTTGAGTTGGAGTTGGTCTCAGATCCCTCACTGAGATCAGAAAGTGAACTTTGTTCAGACTCACCAGTTTCTTCCAGTGGTGTGAATCTGTTTTGAAGAAAGACTGCTTCATTTCTCTGGCTGTTATCAGGTGTTTTGATTACAGCCTGTTGCTTTCTTCTCCTTGCTGAAGGAGAAAACATTTCTCTGTAACTCTGGCCATTCGATGTCATCTAAGAGCTGAATCCTTCCTGAGAGATTTTTTGGTCTGGCACAAACAGAGTTCCATACAGTTTTACTCTCAGAAACAACTTCCATCTCCTCTCCATGTTGATCTCTCATCTCAGCCTTCTCACCCATTTGAATGCATGTTGAGTTCTCCAAAGCATTCCTCTCTTCCAGACGATGAATATTGCGCTCCAACATCGTCACCTTTTGGAGAAGCTGGCAGAAATCCTCTTTGAAAAAGAAAGGAGGCATCTTGGTAGCGCAAAGACTAATAGGCTAAGCTGATCATCTTTGCAAAATGAAACACTTCTATTAAAAAAACTGATTTATATCAATTGTATTTTGTCAACATATAAAACACAATGTTCAAATATATTAAAAAGAAAAAAATAGTATAGGTCTTCTGCACGGGTTCTTCTCTAATGAAACGTTTCGTCTCTCCTCCAAGAGACTTCTTCAGTCTGAGAGTTTCAGGTAAAATTCAGGCTTTTAAGCCCTGCCTCCATGTGACTGATACTCACATCACATGGCTATCATTGACACCTAATTAACACTTATTGTTAACAGGGGGTGGAGTGATACTGGCAATGACCATCCTGGAGAGGATGCAGAGTGAACTAGCTGGCCTTAAGGTACTCTTTTCTTCAGGGTGTCCTTCAGAGCTGGCAGCTCTGGAGGTTTCTGAGTCCCACCCTCCCCACCCCTCTGATGCTGGAACTCCAGCTCCTGCTTTTCCTCCAGCTCTGGTCCCTGTGGGACCTCTGGTTCTGGTCCCTGTGGGCCCTCCAGCTCCGGCTCTGGTCCCTGTGGGCCCTCCAGCTCCAGCTCTGGCTCTGGTTCCTGCGGGTCCTCCAGCTCCGGCTCTGGTTCCTGCGGGTCCTCCAGCTCTGGCTCTGGTTCCTGTGGGTCCTCCAGCTCCGGCTCTGGCTCCTGTGGGTCCTCCTGCTCCGGTTCCTGTGGATCCTCCTGCTCCTGCTCTTGTTCCTGTGGGTTCTCCTGCTCCGGCTCTGGTTCCTCCGGACCCTCCAGTTCCGGTTCCTGTGGGCGCTCCAGCTCTTGTAGGGCCTCCTGCTGAGTCCTCTGCTCCTGAGGATCCTGGTTTGGCTGCCGTTGCCTCCATGTCGCCTGGTTTGGCTGCCGTCGCCTCCATGTCGCCTGGTTCGGCTGCCGTCGCCTCCATGTCACCTGGTTTGGCTGCCGTCACCTCCATGTCGCCTGGTTCGGCTGCCGTCGCCTCCATGTCGCCTGGTTCGGCTGCCATCGCCTCCTCGTCCTCTCTGTTGCCTGTGTTCGCCTTCGCCAAGGCTCTGGCTCCTTCAACCTCTGCCAGCTCATCATCGCCTCTCGCATCCTCACTTGGCTCCACGTCTGCTCCTGCCTCCTCCCTTGGCTCCACATCTGCTCCTGCCTCCTCCCTTGGCTCCACATCTGCTCCTGCCTCCTCCCTTGGCTCCACATCTGCTCCTGCCTCCTCCCTTGGCTCCACGTCTGCTCCTGCCTCCTTCCTCTCAGCTCCTGCAGCCCTGTCTGGAGTGGGGGTGTCACCAGGTCGACCTCTTGACATTGGCTTCTGCAGTTGTGAGGTTCATGGTCGGCCTCCTGAACATTTTGTCCTGATGCATCTCAGTAATCTAGGTAAAAAATCGAAAAGAAAAAAAACTGTATAGGTCTTCTGGATGGGTTCTTCTCTAATGAAACGTTTCGTCTCTCCTCCAATAGACTTCTTCAGTCTGAGAGTTTCAGG